CAGTTCATCAGGACCTGGGGATTTGTTAGGTTTTAGTTTCTCTATTTGTCTGAGGACCATGTCACTAGTTACCGCAATCGTACATAGTTTATTATCCTGTTCTACATAATCTATTATTTCAGGAATATCGCCAGTATTTTCCTGGGTGAAAACTGAGAGGAAGTAGGTATTGAGAATTTCACACACATCCTTATCACTGTCAGTGATCTGACCAGAGTTACTCTTAAGTGGGCCAATCTTGTCCCTAATCTTACTTCTGTATACCTGAAAGAACCCTTTTGGGTTAGTCTTCGAATCCCTTGCGACCTTAGCCTCATAATCCCTTTTTGCTTTTCTTATTCCTTTCTTTCTCTCTTTAATTGAATATATTGATTTCTTAACTGCCCATCCCCTCTTTTGATACGCCTATATATGCCTCTCTTTTCACCAATGAGATGTTTTAATCTATTGTTCATCCATTTGGGATCATTTTTGTTAGATCTAATTTCCCTACTTGGAACAAAAGTTGTCTGGGCAGCTAGAACTAAGCTCTGTAAAATGCCATATTGGCAACCAAGATCACCTACCTGACCCATAGTCAGGACATCCCAATCTAGTCCACCCAGGTAATTTTTCAGTCCCATGAAGTCGGCCAAGCGAAAATCTGGGACAGAGATTTGATTGCAGTTATCTGGGTAATTCCATGATATATTGAAACTCGGTGATTTGTGATCACTTTCCCCAAGCTCATCATTAACCTCAAGATTATTAATTAGTGAATCTTTGTTGGCAAGAACCAAGTCAAGCAGATTGTTTCCTCTAGTTGGTTCTGTCACAACCTGTTCTAAAAAGCAATCCTGAACCGTATCAAGAAAGTCACTAGACTTATGATTTCCTGTCATATTGTTCCAATCAATTTGTCTAAAGTTAAAATCTCCCATTATCACAACATTTTCATATCTAGATGCCTTATGAATTTCGTCCCATAACAGCTTACTGCGCTCCCTATCAAGGTTTAGGGGCCTATAAATCACACCCAAAATTAATTTGTCACGTCCCTCAAGAAACTGTAGCCAAACAGATTCTTTGCTCGATGTTTCTAATCTTATATCATGTCTAAGACAGCAATTTAAACTTTCTCTGACATACATCGCCACTCCACCACCCTTCCTGTTGACCCTACCAGTGTGGAATAGTTTATAACCTTGTATGTTGCATTCAGAAGGCATTTCTCTATCTTTCAGGTTGAACCAGGTCTCTGTTATACCAATAATATCTATATTACCTGCACTTGCAAGTAATCTTAGTTCATCTGTCTTATTTCTGAGACTCCTACTATGTGTATAGTAAACCTTAAGGGAGCTAGTCACTCGTTGCCCTCTACTATCTTTCTTTGTTGATTAATTGATTTGCCATTACTAGCAACTTCATTTTGAATATTGTCTTTTAAACATATCCCTGAGGTATCCCGGTAATAACTGCTGTTTTTAACCCTAATGCTGCAGCCTGATTGTTTCCCACAAACACCCATACCTCTATAATCTATCATTTTAAATTCCTAGACAAGTCATCAATTACCCTCTCAACTGAATTGGCTAATGCAACCACTCCATCCCCAGAGAAATGAACCCCATCCCTTGCATACATATCACGTTTGCCAAAGAATAGGTCCCAGTTATCAATGAATGGGATTGCAAGTTCCTTGCAGTACGTGTCTAGCCAGCAATTTATACCAATTGCCCTAGACATCCATTCATTGCCCACTCCCTTTCTAGGCAAGATTCTACATATGACTGGGATCCCTCCCTTAGACCTAACTACTTCTATGGCTGACCTGTACTTATCCAGCAGCTCCTCTCTCCTGCCCTTCCCAATGTCATTACCCCCAGCACTAAGACAGATAATGGGCTTGTTCCCATTACCTGCCATATTATTATCCAACCTGCTGACTACGTCACCAACACCAGCTCCAGGAAGGCATACTTTCTGTCTGACCTTTCTGCCTCTGTTACAAAATGCACGGTCTATATATCTTACCTGAGAATCGCCTACTATTAAAATATTCTTACCTTGATTAGCAGGGAAATCAGTGGTACCTTCAACCTCACTAACCACTGAAGTACACTCGTCTTGGAGAACAGAGAATCGATTTCTTACCTTCACATCTTCTCTAACTCTCCTCATCTTCCTTCTTCCTGAACTGTGAACCACTTACCACTTAAAGCGGCTGCCACTATCACTGCTGGTGACCATTTTCTCCTTACCAGCTAAATCTTTCTCACACTCGCTCCCAAATTCATCTATGCGAAGCTTCAGCCTCCTATTTTCCTCCTGAAGAAGTAGAATTTCCTTCAACACTTGAACCTGAGATTCTAAAACACTACAACAGGCCATGGTGCTTGGTAACAGCCCACGCTAACTCCCAAGAGCTTAGGCAGATATGGTGGTCTAGGCAGCTCAGGTCATAATATTCTCTGGACTACGTTGAAGCTTTACACATTACTGGATGGAAGTACCTGCTGCACTCTTTGTTGAAATGACACTTTCCCTTCCTCAACATGTTGGCACATTTTCTGGCGTGTTTATTCCAGCAATTATTATATATATATATATATATATATATATATATATATATATAATACTGAAATATACTGCAAAGGAGGTATGAAAGACGTAATAGTTAATACATTTATTGCGCTGCATTATCAAACCTACAACAAAAAATCTAATTGCTATTTTATCTTAAAACAATCCCAGTAATGTCAGTTATACAGCAGATATTGAAAATACAATTTACATTTATCAGATGTAAATTGATTTAGAAAATAACATTTTCACTTTAATATATTTGTACTCCCAGAGGAGTACCGAGCTGCTATTGCATGTTCTAGCTTCAAGGAACTGGAGATACCATCCCTTCCTTGGGATCAAACCTGAACAAGTGTGTAAAAATAATAGAGATTATTATTTTTTATGGGGAGCGCTGACACCCCTGAGAATCATGTAGTGTCTAGGAAATGGGATGTTATCAGGTTTGATCCAAGAGCGCTTCAGAATCAAGGTACCCAAAAACACACAAGTACAATTTAAAGAAAACTGATTGCACATTGTTTATTAAGTCTGTTTCATTTTAAACTGTCCAAAATATATCAGTAAAAAAAATTAATATATTCTTTGTCCTGACCATAATTTCAAAGTCTCCTGGTATTAGTTTATTACTGTAGATGATTTGGTGTTACAAAGTAAGTAAAAAAGGATACTTTTGTACACTTACCTAGAGGGGGAGAATACCTGGAAAGTGTTCTGGGAATCAACGCCGACGTGGACCGGTCCATGACCAGGCATTGGCCAGAACATTTATTAAAAGAAAAGTTTCGTCACTAATGGCTTCATTAATGCTAATGACTGATGAAGTCATGTCGAACCGCTTCCCTTATTAAATGTCCTGAAGTGTACACAAGTGTATGTTTGCAGAATAATTTCAAATAACTGAATAAAATTGTTCCGTAAGAGGGAGAGGGGATCAGACATCCTGATTAATAATGCTACGTGTGATAAATGGTTTAAAACCGACGAGTTGAAGATTGAGACACTTATGCAGCATATGGGAATCTTTATTGAAGAAACGTTTCGCCACACAGTGGCTTCATTAGTCCAATACAAATCAGAAGGGTGTAAGGAGAGGAGGAGTTTGAGGTAATCAGTCCCTCTGCCTGGGGTCGATGTGTTCAGTCCATCAATCTTGTAGAAAGTACAGCATAGGACCGTAGAAATGGCTTATATACTGTAGTCAGATGAGGCGAAGCAGGAGGAAGCTGGGTCATAGTGCTGTACTTTCTACAAGATTGATGGATTGAACACATCGACTCCAGGCTGAGGGACTGATGACCTGAAACTCCTCCTTTCCTTACACCCTTCTGATTTGTATTGGACTGATGAAGCCACTGTGTGACGAAACGTTTCTCCAGTAAAGATTCCCATATGTTGCACAAGTGTCTCAATCTTCAATAATCCTACGAGTTTACAAATTTTTGATAGATATTTTGAAAGTTACTTATGATACAGTGAATGTTGCAGTTAGAGAAAATGATACAATCCATTTAAACATTTAAGTACATTCAAGATGTAACAGGATGCTTAGTAGTGAAGTGACCACGCATAGTTGAGGAAGGTGCCTTGATGCCGCTGAGGGCAGTATTGTAACTCGCATCACCTTAAAAATAATAGCGTAAGAGATCTTTAAGGACTTTTAACTAAAGGTATTCCAGAGGGAAGATTTTTTTTTAATCAAAAAAGATTTCAAAATTTCCAGTAAAATTGAAATTGGATAACTAATACGAAAAATTGGCTCGAAAATATTTTAACATCAAAAGATGACCAAGAGGAATTCACTAAACAATTAAATCATGTTAAGGTAATTGCGCTTGTAGTTTGTAGAAAGAATGAAGTTTAGACCTAATCCGGATACTATTGAAATGTTCCATATAATAAAAAAAAACGGACCTCTTATCATTGTTAATACAACACTTTTGGGGTTTGGAGTTAAAATAATCCTTACAGAAGTCTCCCTTAATATGATCCTCAGAAAGTATAAAGGTATCATTAAAGTATGTTTTATGAAATATTGTGCTAAGCTCAGTACGATAGTCATTGAACCACATCTGGTAATACCTTAGATAAAGTTGGTCTCAAAAAAAAAGAGCCGAATAGGGTTTTCCCTCTCCCCCCCCCCAAAAAAAAAAAAAAAAAAAAGATACAATACCATTTTTGACAAAAATAGCATTTTGTGATATAAATACGCCATTTAGTAATACAAAAGTTCCATTAGTTACGTAAAAATACCATTTATTTACATAATCTATAAAAGTATTTTTTTCAGCGAGATAAAAATGCTATTTAGTAACAATCATTGTAATGTAAAAGATTGGGTATTTTAGGATAGTGTTATGCTATTTTATTCATATTTAGCATTTATATATTAGTGTCCAATATGCTGAAATTTTTTGTTTCTTTCTGTGCAGAGACACGATGGAGTCAATGTTGGTGGACCCGCGGTACTTGGGGGCGCCACTTCGAGGTTACATGGAGCTCGATGCTGAGAACAACAACCTCTTGGAGAAGGCACGGGCGCAACTCATGTGGGACCGTCTAGCTGCCATCACTGCTCCGCCTGGAGCCTCGGGAACCTCTCCTCAGGTAGCAGCAGCAGCCGCGGCTGCAGCAGCGGGTTTGTTGCCACCCTCAATGCCACAGCTCTACACCCTCAACCATTCTCGTGGGAACCCCTCTCCATCTCCGTTACCGCTACCTGCCCATCTGTGGACCCAGTGGACGGCACTACACGGGCTGGGGCATCCCAACCCAGCCCTCTCACACCTCACCTCCCCTCACACCTCCGCCAGTCACCTCTCCCACTCAGCCCTCTCTGCTGCGCCTTCTTCTTCCTCTGCGTCAGTGTCACAAGCGGCGGCGGCGGCGGCAGCTTTAACGCGGCCGCTTTTTCCATCGCCACTCAACCTCCATCGTTACTCTCCATACTTCCTTCCCAAGACCTCACCCTCAGACCCACGAGATCATGCTCTTCCGGACCACCAGTCCTAGAGACCTGCGATTGTCTGGGACCACCTAGGAATGTCTGGGACGACCTGGGAGTCTCTGGAATTACCTAGTAGTGTCTGGGACCACCTGGGCGTGTCTGGAATGGAATGCCAACGGCTCTACGAGTCATCAGTGCCTAAGGAAACTTAGCTGTCTGACGTGACCAAGTTGAGCTGAAAGAACTCGCATGATGCCGAGTTCAGTCACATCGAGAAGCCGCCCCTCCTCACCCCTTTTCTATTCTCTGCCTGTGTTAGGTGCAATGGATGTCGGGAGTAGGGAAGTGCGAGAATCGACTTACTGAGGTGTTTGGGGTGTGTCAGGAACAGAAAGTCCACACAAAGGTTACTCAGACCACTACAGGAAAGCTAACGTTCCCTGCTGCCATGGCCAACCATACGGCCAACAGTTACCCTAGTCTCGGACAGTCTTGCCGCGCATCCTGCCATAATACCGGCGTCAGCGGACGGGGCCGTCTTAGAACAATGACCAGTGTCGGGGGATTTTTTTTTTTCCATGAAAAATTAGTAGCAAATAGCTTCGAGGTTGTGAAAACAGGGTGTGCGTCGCTCATTCTCAGAAACGACTTTGAGGCATGGTGTGCAAGCTGTGATTCATATTGTTGGCACCAAAGAACACACAAGTGCCTGAAGGCAGAAAGACTTTGATGCCTAGGAAACTCCTGAATAGAACTGACACGTGTACAATGGATGCCTGAATACGGCGCACACCCACATAAAGAACAATCCTAAATGTGATAAAAGTCCAGACAAAAACAGTCAAGTGTGGCTGTTGTGTGTGAAGGTTTGTATACCTTCTGTGTAATGCTGAATCCATGTGGGGGCATTCTGGGCAAGGTGTGATAGAGAATAAAGCAAGAATATATGCTTGCATGTATTGTTCTCTTGAGGCGTTAATCTGCAATCTTCTTTTCGTATGCACTCTGGAGCCTTCTCCCCCCCCCCCCTTTCCTCTCCGTCTCTCTCCGGAGTTTAGACACGTTGCAGAAACAGCTTTTGACTTTATCAAGTCATAACTTGATAAAGCTTTAACAGAGAGCCCTTCCGATAGACCTCTCCGGAGTTCCTCAGGTCAGCTGGTGCTTGAGCAGACGCTTGAAGTAGCTAGTGCTGTGTAGCGGCCTTGAGGGGCAAGGGGCGGTGATGGCGTTGACTGGGCATCTCTACCACCCATAAGTGCTGTCCTAGAATTTAGGACACTGAACTCAGGGTCAAAGACAGCCTCTATTGTGACATATCGTGAATTGTCTTCAGTGAAAAAAGGACAAAAATCAATATTTAGATTTTGTTTTAAGATGCAAATTACAACCTCTTAATGTTATATTCTACACAGTCCCTGAATCACATAAGGGTAATGTCCCTGTTGTTTATTTCTTCGTTGTATGTTATTAAGTTACAAGCTTTAACTCGGCCATAAGGAAGTGACTTAGGTATAACATGGGGACACAGACGCAGGCGCCATGGTGGCTATGCTGGCAAGGACGCGCTCATGGATATGTCTGTGTTTCGTGTGTTAAGGAAAGTAGTGACCATCACAAGACAAGGAATGTTAATGTGAATCTCTTGCTTATGTTGGACCTTTCTTACTACAGAGGATCAACGTAAGCGAAGGAGAATATGCAAATAAACAAAGACACTTTAATAAACGGTATGTGTTTATGATGTAAATATATTGACTATTATACCAGTGAGGGATGGTCAAGATTATAAGAGCCATATAAACTGGATGTTAGTGTTAGGATCTACGACCCAACTGGATTAAAATTTTGGTCTAAACTCTATAATGATTATTGCAGTGTATGAGTGATTCAATGTCTGAAGCTCATCGGAATGGGTTACATTTTGAAATTATTTCAGTGAAATGTCAGTTGAAATGAAAAGGTAGAATTCATTGAATTGTTTTAAATTAAAATTTGATGCGACAGAATCAGTATTTGAGGAAAGTGAGATTAAAAGAAGACCATGTAATGTGGGAAAGGCTGAGTCAGTGAGTGCCTTTGTTAACTACCAGTGCCAAAGGTTTATGTCCTGCCCTCTTCTTCCTCTCTCTCTACCCCTCCCGCACTCACCACGTCTTGTATTCCCCTCATTTCCTTACCTTTTCTTTGTTACCGCTGCTCTCTTATCGAGTCCTCTTAACTGCCACTTTTCACTCATACGCTATTTTTTTATTATTTTACAATGCCACACTATTCTTTCACCATTTGCATTTTCTCGTCCTCTCCCAGTTCCGTACTGTCATTGAATTCGCATCACTTTTCAACTCGTGTTACCCCTATTACCTCATCTCCCAGCCAGCCCATTGTAATCTTTTGTAACATCATCTCCCTTTCTTACTATCAACTTACTCTTCATTATTCTTCCACTCCCCCCACCAACACCCCTGTTGCAATTTATAGAATTTTGTGTTTTTTTAATGTTATTGTTATTTTTATATTTTTTGTATCACACAATCACCTGTAAAGGTTACATTGATGTGTATATATTCAGAATGATGCCGTTGTATATATAGTTTGTATATATATAAATGTATATATATATAGACGTAATACTAAAACCTTTCCACCTTTGCGTTTCAAATTTTTAGATAAAGAGGAACGCGAAAAAATCACATACCATATTTATTGCAAATGAATTTTTTGGTAGACTTTGCTGTATATAAGTTTTTCGTAACTTATTTTTCAAAAAGGACGAATAAAAATCACCGTGGAGATGACTGTCCAAATCCTGTTGTATATATATTGAGGTGAACAAATACATGTGATCCAACTTTATATTGTGGTTTCATTTTCCTTAATATTATATTTACCGAACAGATCTTAAATGAAGGAAGTTGGAGCTGCTACTTCACTTTATAGAAGGCACTTATCTTTCTTCTCTTTAGATGGCGGAAGATTCAAAGGTAAACGTACACCAATGCATTCACACAGAACAGGTTTATTGAAAAAGCTTAGTTTTCAATTATTATATATATATATATATATATATATATATATATATAGGAGTAGCAATAATGTTGAAGGATAAGATATGGCAGGAAAAGAGGGACTATAAATGTATTAATTCAAGGATTATGTGGAGTAAAATAAAGATTGGATGTGAAAAGTGGGTAATAATAAGCGTGTATGCACCTGGAGAAGAAAGAAGTGTAGAGGAGAGAGAGTGATTTTGGGAAATGTTGAGTGAATGCGTGGGGAGTTTTGAATCAAGTGTGAGAGTAATGGTGGTTGGGGATTTCAATGCTAAAGTGGGTAAAAATGTTATAGAGGGAGTAGTAGGTAAATTTGGGGTGCCAGGGGTAAATGTAAATGGGGAGCCTTTAATTGAGCTATGTGTAGAAAGAAATTTGGTAATTAATACATATTTTATGAAAAAGAGGATAAATAAATATACAAGGTATGATGTAGCACGTAATGAAAGTAGTTTATTAGATTATGTATTGGTGGATAAAAGGTTGATGGGTAGGCTCCAGGATGTACATGTTTATAGAGGGACAACTGATATATCGGATCATTATTTAGTTGTAGCTACAGTTAGAGTAAGAGGTAGATGGGAAAAGAGGAAGGTGGCAACAACAAGTAAGAGGGAGGTGAAAGTGTATAAACTAAGGGAGGAGGAAGTTCGGGTGAGATATAAGCGACTATTGGCAGAAAGTGTGGGCTAGTGCAAAGATGAGTAGTGGGGGGGTTGAAGAGGGTTGGAATAGTTTTAAAAATGCATTATTAGAATGTGGGGCAGAAGTTTGTGGTTATAGGAGGGTGGGGGCAGGAGGAAAGAGGAGTGATTGGTGGAATGATGAAGTAAAGGGTGTGATAAAAGAGAAAAAGGTAGCTTATGAGAGGTTTTTACAAAGCAGAAGTGTTATAAGAAGAGCAAGTATATGGAGAGTAAAAGAAAGGTAAAGAGAGTGGTGAGAGAGTGCAAAAGGAGAGCAGATGATAGAGTGGGAGAGGCACTGTCAAGAAATTTTAATGAAAATAAGAAATTTTTTTGGAGTTAAACAAGTTAAGAAAGCCTAGGGAAAGTATGGATTTGTCAGTTAAAAACAGAGTAGGGGAGTTAGTAGATGGGAGAGGGAGGTATTAGGTAGATGGCGAGAATATTTTGAGGAACTTTTAAATGTTAAGGAAGAAAGAGAGGCAGTAATTTCATGCACTGGTGAGGGAGGTATACCATCTTTTAGGAGTGAAGAAGAGCAGAATGTAAGTGTGGTGGAGGTACGTGAGGCATTACGTAGAATGAAAGGGGGTAAAGCAGCTGGAACTGATGGGATCATGACAGAAATGTTAAAAGCAGGGGGGGATATAGTGTTGGAGTGGTTGGTACTTTTGTTTAATAAATGTATAAAAGAGGGGAAGGTACCTAGGGATTGGCGGAGAGCATGTATAGTCCCTTTATATAAAGGGAAAGGGGACAAAAGAGACTGTTAAAAATTATAGAGGAATAAGTTTACTGAGTATACCAGGAAAAGTGTATGGTAGGGTTATAATTGAAAGAATTAGAGGTAAGACAGAATGTAGGATTGCGGATGAGCAAGGAGGTTTCAGAGTGGGTAGGGGATGTGTAGATCAAGTGTTTACATTGAAGCATATATGTGAACAGTATTTAGATAAAGGTAGGGAAGTTTTTATTGCATTTATGGATTTAGAAAAGGCATATGATAGAGTGGATAGAGGAGCAATGTGGCAGATGTTGCAAGTATATGGAATAGGTGGTAAGTTATTAAATGCTGTAAAGAGTTTTTATGAGGATAATGAGGCTCAGGGTGTGTAGAAGAGAGGGAGACTACTTCCCGGTAAAAGTAGGTCTTAGACAGGGATGTGTAATGTCACCATGGTTGTTTAATATATTTATAGATGGGGTTGTAAAGGAAGTAAATGCTAGGGTGCTCGGGAGAGGGGTGGGATTAAATTTTGGGGAATTAAATTCAAAATGGGAATTGACACAGTTACTTTTTGCTGATGATACTGTGCTTATGGGAGATTCTAAAGAAAAAATGCAAAGGTTAGTGGATGAGTTTGGGAATGTGTGTAAAGGTAGAAAGTTGAAAGTGAACATAGAAGAGAGTAAGGTGATGAGGGTATCAAATGATTTAGATAAAGAAAAATTGGATATCAAATTGGGGAGGAGGAGTATGGAAGAAGTGAATGTTTTCAGATACTTGGGAGTTGACGTGTCGGCGGATGGATTTATGAAGGATGAGGTTAATCATAGAATTGATGAGGGAAAAAAGGTGAGTGGTGCGTTGAGGTATATGTGGAGTCAAAAAACGTTATCTATGGAGGCAAAGAAGAGAATGTATGAAAGTATAGTAGTACCAACACTCTTATATGGGTGTGAAGCTTGGGTGGTAAATGCAGCAGCGAGGAGACGGTTGGAGGCAGTGGAGATGTCCTGTTTAAGGGCAATGTGTGGTGTAAATATTATGCAGAAAATTCGGAGTGTGGAAATTAGGAAAAGGTGTGGAGTTAATAAAAGTATTAGTCAGAGGGCAGAAGAGGGGTTGTTGAGGTGGTTTGGTCATTTAGAGAGAATGGATCAAAGTAGAATGACATGGAAAGCATATAAATCTATAGGGGAAGGAAGGCGTGGTAGGGGTCGTCCTCGAAAGGGTTGGAGAGAGGGGGTAAAGGAGGTTTTGTGGGCAAGGGGCTTGGACTTCCAGCAAGCGTGCGTGAGCGTGTTAGGAGTGAATGGAGACGAATGGTACTTGGGACCTGACGATCTGTTGGAGTGTGAGCAGGGTAATATTAAGTGAAGGGATTCAAGGAAACCGGTTATTTTCATATAGTCGGACTTGAATCCTGGAAATGGGAAGTACAATGCCTGCACTTTAAAGGAGGGGTTTGGGATATTGGCAGTTTGGAGGGATATGTTGTGTATCTATATATGTGTATGCTTCTAAACTGTTGTATTCTGAGCACCTCTGCAAAAACAGTGATAATGTGCGAGTGTGGTGAAAGTGTTGAATGATGATGAAAGTATTTTCTTTTTGGGGATTTTCTTTCTTTTTTGGGTCACCCTGCCTCGGTGGGAGACGGCCGACTTGTTGAAAAAAAAAAAAAATATATATATATATATAATATATATATATATATATATTATATATATATATAAATATATAATATATTATATATTATATATATATATAATAATATATATATATATATATATATATATATATATATATATATATATAATATGTCGTGCCGAATATGTAAAACTGGCCAATTAGCAAGAACTCATTTAAAATTAAGACCTTTCTAAAATTTTCTCTTATACGTTTAAAGATATATTTTTTTCATTAATGTTAATGTTAAAATTTTTAATTTTGCTCCAAAAGAATCTTAGAAAACTTACCTAACCTTATTATAACAAGAACAATTTCTTTCAGCCTAACCCAACTAAATATATTTTAGATTTGTTTACAATAATTTAATACTAAACAAACACAGTGAAATGTATTTTTTTCGTTAGGTTCAGAATGATTTTGGCGAAATTATTGCATACAAAAATTTTCGCTTGTCCTATATGGCAAGATGAGCGTTGCTATTTAAGCCAAGATCGCAAGTTCTGCCTATTCGGCACGACATTATATATATATATATATATATATATATATATATAATATATATATATATATATATTATATATATATATAATGGGGTCCATCTCTGGTGTAAATTGTGGGACCCATAGCCTCGGAGAAGTGGGTAAAAAGGTTTCAAGGAAGAATATTTGGATTTCTTCCTGAAGCCGTTTGAATATTCCACTTCCCCTACCACCCCATCTTTTCATATTTTTTTTTACCAATAGGAACATTTTATTACATAATATGGTACAAAAGATTTGAGATTGTTGATATAAAGGTGGCATATACGGTACATGTTGTTACGTGTATATCGCCGATTATAAGGCAAAAATCTTATCCAGCTCCTCAGAGCTGGGGGGTGTGCCCAAAATACAGCAGGCATTACCCTTTTGAACAGCCGCACTGAGCCGCTGGAACAAAACTAGCTGCCCTGGGATCCCTAGTTACCCTGATGAGTCTTTTTCCCAGCTCCTTAAGGAATTTAGATGCATTCTTTTCCCATGAGCCAAGGGTCATATAGTGATGGGCAAGTTCTCCATATTTTCTAGACTTTTGGGACTCCCTGAAGCTGGCAGCTGCCCCTCCTTCCTCCCTGGTGTATTGGAGATAGGTATCAGCCAAGGTAGATGCCCATGTATAGTCCCACACCACCTGCTTCCCGTCTGTCCAGGCTTGAAGGGTGATACCATCTGGACGCTTCTGGCTGCCATCAGATCTGTATAGCTGGGGTGGCTCCCTTACTGCTGGGCATCCGGCTGTTAGGCTCCTCTTGATAATGTTATTAACCACCTCATGTCTTGCAATCTTTTCTTTGGATTTACGGCACACAAGACCATGGTACCCGAGTCGGTCTGTTGCTTCACTGCCACAAATACACCTGTGTTAGGCGAGAATAGGGGCGGCAAGTCGAAGGGCAACACCGATGCGGATGGTCTCTGGGTCGAGGAGTGTGCCAAGGCTGGAGTTGGGAACAGTCAACAGAAAGTTCCCTGATTTCCTGTCAATGTGTTCTGTTTGTTAAGAAAGTTCACACAGAATATAGAATATAGGGGGAGGTAGGAGAAGAAAATATTCAAGCACCTCCAGAGAGAACCTTGAGTTTTCCCTGAGGTATGTTTATTCTCTTCTCTGAGGATGACGGTCCCTAGTCCAGTTTATATATATATATAATATTATATATAT